TCTAAACTACCTTCATTGTCCTCAATCTTTTTATGGCTTGCCTATTGAAGTAAGCAGCATCTATTATCCTATGGAACAGTGCAAACAGCAGTACAGATGTATTTCTGCACAATAGATGGTTTAAGTAGTAGCTTTCTTATTAATAGATGCATGTGTATAGTATTCAATTTCCCAGATCAATCATCCACTTAATTTGCAAAACCTGTTGTAGCGCTTTAAGAAATGCAGTAGGGTTGCACAGCTAATTTTTGTTATGGATTATCTCTTATTACAGGTATAGCATATGAGTGAACTTAAAAATGCCTTATCTTTTTGAACCCACTGTTAATGGCAGCCCACGAGAAGGTGTTGAGAGAACTGCTGTTGATTAATTATTGTTTTCTTTACTATCAGTTATAGCCTTTAAATTTAGAAGAAACAGAATGATTCTATCAAGCACAACAGTTTATATTGTCATCAAGTGTAAGAACTTGCATTTTTAGTAAAGCCTAGTTTTTTGGAAAAAAAAAGTTAAAGTTTGTAGTTGCATTTTTCAGAAGTGTTTCCTCTCGCAAGCATCTTTGTGCAAATTAAATGTGGTTTTCTTCTAAAAGGTGTGCCTGCTGCTTCTTTGGTAACCCCTGCTGATGTCATCAAGACAAGACTGCAAGTGGCAGCTCGCGCTGGTCAGACAACATACAGTGGAGTTATTGACTGCTTTCGAAAGATTCTGAAGGAAGAAGGTGCTTCGGCTTTTTGGAAGGGAGCTGGAGGTGAGAAACACGCTCTGAATATTAGGGCGGCCCCTGGATCTGCAAACTAACCATTTGCTTTGTTAGGGACTCAAATTAGAGCAGTATTTGCAAGGTCTGATTCAGAAAAAAATCTAATGGCTTGTTAAAAATGTTCAGCTTCTTCTCTCCTGAGAAATTCTTTTGTTTGACACTGTGATTTGTAATATTTAACAGCTCGTGTGTTCAGATCTTCGCCCCAGTTTGGTGTTACTTTGGTCACTTACGAACTTCTGCAGAGATGGCTTTCTGTCGATTTTGGAGGCCTGTAAGTCAGATATTTGCTTTTTAGCTTGCATAGGAAAGCTGCGAAGTTAAGAATCTTACTCTTTTCCCCATACAAGGGACCACTTAAGCTTGGTGCCTTTAAGTACTTAAAATTGCAGTATGCAAGAAATCCCCCCATCCTTATGAAATGCAGAGATAATTGCATGCTACTTCTAAACAGATGAGATGAAAACCCATCTCATTTTAATACATTAATTTGTATTTCCATTGCAGCAAAATATTTTGTCCGTTTACCCGCATGTCAGTGAAGTTAATAAAATTTAACAAATCTAGTGGTAAAAATGTAACTTCAGTTTTGGCCTTGATTTCCCTTGAAGCTGTGGTCTGAACTCAACTTTACTTGACACAGAAGTGAATCAATTAAGGTCAGCTTTAACAACCTTCCATACTCAAACAAAAGCCTGAAGTATTTAATCTAGATTGTATGGAGTTATCCAGCCTTAAGAAAACACTTTAAATAAAGGAAAGGCTTTTTTTCTTTTTCTCTGTTCAAACAGCAAACCTTCTGGATCAGAACCCACCCACAAAACTCGGATTTCAGATCTTCCTCCTGTTAACCCTGAGCACATAGGTGGATACAGACTTGCTACAGCTACATTTGCTGGAATAGAAAATAAATTTGGGTTGTACCTTCCAAAGTTTCGATCTCCTGCCGTCAGCCCAGCTCAACCAAGTAGCAGCTGAATCCTGGAACCTAACAAGTGATGCAGTGGGAAAAACTCACCAGAGTAGGAACTGTATTTTTTTCCAGTCAGCTGCATGTTGCTCTAGCTGAACTGAGCTTGCAAATCTAATTACTCCTTTCTGGTATTGATACAGACCTGCGTTTATTTATTTGCACACAAGGAACTGATTGAAGCTGAGGTTCTATGCCTTATTTTAACCAGTGGCATGAATCTGTAGCCTAGACTTTGCCTTGCACAGCTTGCATTTAATGTTACTGTACATATTGTACATCTTTGTACAGAGACATCATGGCATCTATATCAATACCCATTTATACAACGAGTATTGCAGTTCAAAATAGTTTGAAATGTACAGAATGTTTTGAACGCATTTTGTTAACAATCATGACAATAAACTATTTAAAACCACTTCAGTCAAGTTCACTGCTTTGTGTTTACAGAGAAGGTGTCCAACTGATTGGGTTATTTTTTCCCCTCCACAGATTATGGATCACATATTAAAATGTAAAGATTAGATGCACCCATTTAATAAATATACAGCACAGGACGTAGCCTCTGAAGGAACACATTTCACTGCTGATTACAGCAAAGGTATTAAAAGGCAATGTGCTGGCTGGTAAGTGCAAGAGAAGACAGTAGTTAGATGAGCACATACAGTATTTTATTTTGCATCACTGCTTTGTTAACAAGGAATTCTCTCAATAGACAAGGTAATACTAGATGTGTAATAGATCCTACCCCTATGGTAGCATATTTAAAACACAGTATTTGCCAGTTATTTGCAGCCTCAATAATTTTTTTCAGGATTCACCGAGTGATTTTTCCCAAATTGAAAACTTTCTATTAAAAAAGTTGAAGGCATTTTCTTTATTTCTAGATTGTTTTACCATTGAAAGATTAGGTTATTCTGGAAAACAAACAGGCTTTCTTTAATATTCATCTAATATACAAAACTGATCGTTTACAGGTCCAGTTGAGTAGAAAGAAGAAACAAAAAGCTTGAACTATTTCTGGCTTAATGTCTGCCAAAAGTTTATGTGGTGTAGTTTTTAAATGCAAAGATGTCGCAGCAAATAAGGGAGTCTGGGTTTCTACAGCCAGAGGAAAAGTAGTTATAGTACCCCTACCACCGGAGAAGAGAGAGGTGGGTTGCCAGCCTTGCTTACTGAGGTATGGCAACCTCCCATCTTTAGTTCTACGTATTTCTTTCGGGGTCAAACATCCCGCAGTACAGTGTGTCTCAGCAGTATGAACTGACCTGAGGTTGTTATTTTCTTGCTGAGGTGACAGCAGACCAACATGAAGAGCTTTAATCAGCTTATGAAGAAACACCTCCTTAAAAACCGAACACTGCAAGTACAGACAAGCCCTCCTTCAGTTCTAGCCTCTAAGCAAGATACAAATTTGGTGCTATTTAGTGAGCTAGATGTTACAATATGTTAAACTTGGGAGTTTGATCACTATTCTGCATCACCCATAAATATGTATGTGTGTGTATTTATACATATAACAGCATTAGAAGGCTTCCTGTCCTTACCTGGATTTATTTTTTCCTGTTCAGGTTAAAGAATTACCTGTTTTGTGCCATTTTCTAGATAGAGACAGGCTTCCCGGGAGCTCTCTCCTGTATCTATGTTTTGTTCTGCGCTTTTCTAAGTTGGATACAAAAACGGCAGGTACCCACCACTGGCATTTAATCTTAGTCACAGCTTGTTGACTGACTTCATCGAGGCCTTAGGAGACTTTACAATGCAAGACAGCATTTGTATTTCTTACAGTTCCAAAACTGGACAGTGTGGCTCCCAGGATAATCATTAACAATACCTAACATCACTATTGGTCTCTGTGTTACAGGTATGGGCTTTACAACGTTTTTAACCTGTACTCAACTATTTTGTGAGGGAGGAACACAAGTAGGAATGAATACAGATTAGTACTGAAATGTAATAATTGAATATTACCAAAAGGTCAAAATTACGGGAAACTGATGCCATATGACCTATATCTTTATGCCACAATCCACTGAAAAAAGGCCTTACCTACGGGGTTTCTGATAACAGAGTCTGAAAGAGATGTATTTATTAATAAACAAGAAGTAACAATTTAAGTAAAAATAAACAAAAAAAACTACTCACAGCTAAGAAACCCCAACCAACCACCCAAAACAGCAAGACAAGAATTCTTGTGCCTCAAGGGTAAAAATCATCACACGGTGTACTTGTTCACATGTTTCTCAACTGAACAGATAGCTGCTGTCGTAAGGTTGATATTTACCTTGTATGTTTTCCTCAAAATGAACAGCATGACTTTTTATTGAAGGGGAACTTTTGACAAGTCAATACCAGTAGAAGCCTAAATCTATTTCACTTTCAAGTTCAGTGAAAAAGAACCTCCTGAAGACAGAACTGCTGTTACTGCTGCCTGTGTCTCTGTGAGCTGCTCGCAACAGAACTGAGACAAGGAGAAACATTAAAAATAACCCAAAACCAAACAAACCCTAACCCCAAAACCAAACTTAAAACACAAACACCGTAGAAGCAATAAGAATACTTCTGGACCTAAAGCTGATTATGGAATATAAACCTATTTCCTACTTTTAAACATATAAAACAGCTCTTCTGGCAAAAACAATAAACTTGTAGCAGATTAAGAATATCAGAACCAAACTTAAAGTCCTAAGTTAAAGGCATCAATACTGGTTTAGTGCCTAATTAGTACAAGTCAGAATATTTACTTAACCACCTCCTCCCCCCCCGAACCAACCAAAAAAGCCCCAAACCAAACTGAACCAACCAACCTAAAAAAACCCAACCAAACAATATACTAATGTCCCCCACGAACCATAACACCAAAACTGATCTTGATGGGAAACTTTATGAGAAAGATGTACTCAAAAAAAATTAACCTAAAAAATTTTAACAGAAATTGCAACCATTTTGTTTCAAGCCATTGAGAAGTTTTGTTTCAATAAAACTGTTAAAAGTCAATGCAGATGTCTTTATTATACTTAATGTGGAAAATTAGTGGCAAGTCTGTAGTTCACAGAATGCTAATCATGTGACAGAAAATCTAGTTCCTTACTGTATGGAAAAGACTGACAACAGCAGCCTTTTTCCTTTGTCTGATTGCCAGGGTAGGAAGTGGAGGTTGGGGGTAGAAAACAGCTCTGCAGCATGTAGTAAAATGAAAGCAGCAGCTCCCAGAAACTTCCTACTCTCAAACTACTGAAGGGTCACAGATGAGGGGTCAGGGCAGCTGACAAGTGCTCATACAATATTTATTCATGAATCAGTCTCACCTTTTAATGCACCAATTCAAACAAAAGAACTGGGTATTAAATATGTATTTCATTAATTCAGGTCCAATTATCAAGTTTGGAACTACAGACAATTTTTTATTAACATACATTACCCACTACCTTATCCATATATAAACAATGAAACTTACTTGGAACATATGCATGCTTATTATCATGGGTAATTCAAATTAAAGAATGCTTCAGAGATTAACTACCTAATGAAGGCTAGTCTTTGTAATATGGAAAGTTTAGGTTAGAAACAGAACTTTCACTTTTCAGACATACTGTTACAAAGTGGAAAGTTCAGAAGCCCAATAGCAAATTTACACCAGGTTAGTGTTTCAGCAAAAGAAGGTCCTTGCAAAGTCAAGGTTAACTGTATTAAAAGTTACACAAATCCAAGTATGTGCTTGTAATTTATATATAAAAAGTGACAATCCGATTTTCAGTAATCTTAACACATTTTTCAAAGTCCATAGTTGAATCCATATATCCCTCCCATAAGCTATTACTTGAGCTGACGTGCACTTTGCATCAAATCAATCACCATTCTACCACTGCTGCCTGTTGTTACAGATCTATGCCGGTATGCGGGTTGCAGCTTCCTCTTCTGCATCAGCTCTGTTAGCGTTTATTTCTGCCAGGGTTCGACCAAACCGAGTCCACTCATCACTGCGAGGAACGGCAATTTGCTGTTGATAAAAGAGAATGTTATTTGAGCCTACTGATAAACAAGTGAGCTCATTGGGAACAGCAGAGCTCTTAAGTAACATTCAGAAGAGGTTCCAATAGAAAAGCTTATTTTTATGTAGTGTAAGTTTTGAAATCGCCTGAACATCAAAAGCTGTAACTAATAAAGGAAGCTGAAATTCAGAATCGTGTATTTAAGTACGTAATAATACTCTTACAAGCTTGCATGATCAATCTCCATCCAAGATGGATGCCTCAAAAGGGGAATACTGATGCCACATCCTCATCCAATCAATTAGTTACATACTACTGCAGTATGCAGACTTGCAATAGCAACAGCTTCCCTGTAGGAACAAGGTCAGGACTGCTTCACTGTAAAATGCTTTTGCTCTGCACTTCTCAAGCTGTGGTCAGAATTCACGTGTCCCAGTTACAAAGAAGATTCTTCCATCTTATTTCACCAGCCTCACAATAATACTTTTACTTTCTCAGTGGCCACCAGATAACATGCTAAAAAGTTATCCTACTATTTCTGAAATACACCCCAAAAGTACACATTAATTTCAAAATAAAAATTATACCCTGTGCTCCTAATCACAGGGGGAAAAAGTTAAACACAAGTTGCTATATAAAAGTCAAAGAAACTCAAGTGTTTTGCAATGTAGTTTGCACAATACAGGGTACACATACCTCTCCCACGTCATATATGACTATTTGTCCCTCTGAATCACCAACAGCAATCTCTCTCCCAGAATGTGTCCATCTCACGCGGTTCAGAGCAGGGTTACCCTCCACAGTAATGCTTGCAGTTGGCACCTGTATCCATTTAAAATGCATGGATAAAAATACATGAGGATTCCATAAGCTACAGGTTACAGAACACTCCTAGTCCCTCAGTGTTGTATCAAGGGAAGTGCCCAACATTTCCACTGACACAGAATATGCAGATCTCAGACTCTCAGTGGCCCTAGGCTGTCACCAGTGACATGATCAAAACATCACATCTTTTGTCCCTTGGCCAAAGTACAGGCACCCTCTATCAGGAAGCACATCTGCATCACACTCTTGTCATGAGACATGAGGTGCTGACAGGCATTCAATCAGCCCTGCGATCTCAAGAAAAAATATGATAGAGGGCAGGGATGAAGTCAGCTGTTTTGGCAGGTTGAACCCTATCCAAAGGCTAGAACCAGGTAACTCCTGTTTGAAGCCATAGGCTGGCATAGTACTGCAGAACTGCTCTTCCTTCTAAATACAGTTTTAAGAAAGTGAAATTTTAAGTGCTGAATATCTGCCATGTTCTTCCTCTCGCCTACCTCCGAGAAGTTTAAGTCTCAGATAAGATTTATAGTATAATTAAGTTTGTAACTCACATCAAAAAAACGAATATTCACTTAAGTTTACCAACAAATTGTAATTTCACTGCAGTATTATTATAGCAAAGGTAACATGGCAATTGGAACGGCAGTGTGGGGGTAAGAGCTTTGCTGACACTTAAGCTATAGGCTGCCAAGGCCATACTTGTGGGAGATCCATAATCACTCTCACGGATCAGTGTTACACTGACAGATGCTTTGCACTCTTGTTACAGTTAAAACAATTTAGTTACCACTGTTACCCATTATGAGGAATCATTTGAGTAACAACCTATAACTAAAGAATAGTATCCATTACGTACAAACTACTGGAACTACAGACAGGACAACAACAGAAAACCCCAAACCAAAACACTATGCTGAACTTCTGACATTTTTTCCTCCCCTAAGTATATGAACACTTTTCCAGCTGCATTTGACTGTTAACCTGACATCCTCACCTCAGTATCATTGTTGAGATTCCACAGGTCAAGCCTGCCCATCCCATCCACACAGGCAAACAAGGCAGGGTGAGTTGGAGACCACATCACATCATAAACGTAATCTGAGTTGTCTTCAAAGGAGTAGAGGGGTTTGTTATTCTGAAAAAAGCAAATGTAACAATGCAATACCCAAAATCTGCACTTCAAAATTATAAAGCTAACGGGTAAAGCAAAATACAGAACTTCAGCAGCATTATCAGCAATAACTACAGTGATTCACGTTTTCACTTAATTTAAAAACATGCCTCTGCAAAAAAGCATTTCCAAATTAATACTATTGTAACTACTATTGTTAAAGGGATGCTTTCCAAACCATGCAGCCTTTTTGCTAGCTGCTACCATAAAACAATCAGTAGCAAGCTAATATTGTAAGAGATTGTAAATTCAATAAATTAATAATGTCCTAAATCAATCCAATGATAATTCAGGGACAGCACTTCAGATTATTACTAGGAGATTCCAGCAGTGCTTCCTTTGCTTTGCATCCCCCAGAGCATCAAAGTAACAGAGAGAGAGGTAATTCTGGCCATGGGAAAGACAGATACATCAATTGTGAGCCTCCTGGAGTTTAACTGGCATCAGGTTTTGGTGCTGCCCCTTAATCCTCCACAAAATTGTAGCAAAACATTTGCCTTGTGCATAATACAATGTAACTGATTTTACAACACTATTCACGTTTGATTGCATTGTAATAATTAGTGAAACAAAGGGCAAGAGGATGAACAGAATGGATCGCTAGTATACAAATGATGTACAATCTGAAAGCAAAGCTTTATGTTGTTAACTATAGTTTTGCTCATCAGCTGTCTCCTCTTTGCAGGCCTGCTGCTAGGAACCAAGAGAGCTTCACACAATTTGATTTGAGTTTACTGAAGTTTCTTCAGTAGCTTACATTATAGCACCACCTTGTGTCAAGGACTATGAAGAAAACCACTGAACTATCTAAGTTACCTTGGTTGTCCAAAGCTTTACTGTCCAGTCAAAAGAAGAGGTGACAAAAAGATGTGAGAAGTCTACAGGCCCAACTGCTGCATGGCAGTTGATACCTGTGATTGGTCCCTGGTGTCCTTCAAACATCTCACTGATTCCAGCTTTGCTGTTTTAGAATATATAACCAAGGTTAATTTATCTGGAAATTGTACACCTGCAGACAGAGACAGCACTGAAATGCAATTTAAATTTAGCTACAAGAAGATTTTGCTGCTTTCTATGGAGGTTACCCCACTGCAAAAGGCTTCATCACCACAGGATCACAGAAGACCAGGCTTGAAAACAGACCTTAAGTTCAAAATCTATTTGCTGCTAACCTTAAGTGCCAAAATGTACCACAGGGAGAAGGGACTCATTCAGCAGGTACCAGTCCACACACTTAACCACATTATTCTCCAAGCAATAGCTAAAACTTTCATTCATGCAAAGAACAAAATCCAGCCCTCAGGAATGAGCACAGAACTCCCACAGGCTCATGGGAATTTCTGTGTATTCTCATGGACACAGAATTTGGATATAAACCAGTAACAATATATCCTTAATAGCCTATCAGAAGCGATGAAAAAGAAGGAGGGAGGGGGGCAGATGGGAAGGATGTTACACCAAAGCGATACAATTGAGGGTATTTTGGAGTCAAAACACTGTGCAGCAAGGGTGATGTGTATCTGAGATGAAACCTGGACACTCGATTATATTTAAGAAGCAATTGATAAGATACAGTCAGACAATTTCAAACTAGATTGACCAGCAGGAGAAAAGCTGTCCAATTTAAGATTTGTGCGTGATGTTACTGTACAATTAGCTACAGAACCGATACGAAGTTCGGAATGTTCTGCTACAATTCAGATGAATAAAACTGCAGTAACCTGCAGTGACCTACAGTGCCCTCATCAGCACAAACAACTCCTAGACACTGAAGGCAGCACAGTACCAATTTAATATTCCAACTTCTTTTGGTTTTAATAAAGCTCTCAGTCAGGAAACAGTGTGCACTGGAAAACATATACAGCTATTTCGAACTCCTTCAAGATAAAGGAGTAAATACACACTGTAAATGATTTTAGGAGTATGCAGAGCATGCAGGGACTCATCCTTTCACTATATTTATTTCCTTTGAACAATTAAAGTTTGTATTCACCTGCCATGACGACACGCAGTGTACACAGAGCCTTCTTCACTGCCAACAACAAAGTTGTTGACATCTCCAATAGGGAAGGACATGCATGTAACAGCCACAGCCTTGGATTGTTTGTGAACCAGTTCCATGCTATCCTGTAGAGAAAGTATCAGCAACTAGCTTAAAAAAACCCCACAGCATTTCCACAGGTAGGCAAATACTTTATCACAGACTTATTGAGCTATCAAGTATAATTCTGTGTGTTGGGAAAATTGTTTATTAATGTCTTTTTAGATTCATTAAAGTTGTACAAAATATTAATCTTACCTGGGGTTGAGAAAGCATGTCCAGACTCCAGGAGCATATTTTTCCATCAGTTGAGATACTAATCAAATTATGAGCATTCTGCGTCCCAACAACATTTACACAGTAGACTGGGTGCTAAGAAACGTAAAACATTATCAGAAAAAAGAATGTCCAAGTAGCAACCAATTCTGGTGTAATATAAACAGCAAAACATACAACTTCACCATTTAACAAAGCATAAAAAGACTGACTGCAGTACAGCACAAAGAATACTCCCCTATAAAACTAATACTTGTTTTTCTGACACTTTGCTTTTTACGAAACGACCAGTTCTTCAGTGATAGCATGGGCAAAATACAGACATAAACATGTAAGCATTATCAATCAAGTGCACTGGACACAGTTTCCTAGAGGTTAAATACATCTCAACAGGGAACAGTCCTTGAAGATATTTCACCCCCTACCGTGTGAGCAGCAGCTGAAAGTGGAGTTCTCTGCACTGGGGTTCTCTTATTGCTGCGATTATCCCACAGCACTATTTGGCCAGAGTATGTGCCACCAACCACCAGATTGGGATGAAATTTTGCAAAGGTAGCTGACATCACCGCTGACTGAAAGGAAAAGAAATCAAACAACAAAACACATAAAATACACAAAACCCCCTACCCTTTAACAACACTATGCCTAAATCTAAAGAAAGAGGGACCAAACAGCAGAGTCAGTAATTTATTTGATACACTATTTCACTGTCCAGTTAAGGATTCACAAGCACTTTGTGAACTCTCAACAGCCTTTTTAATTTGTATTTATAAAATGACATTTTCCTTCTCTATTTCTTTCACATGTCTATGTTTGTATTCCTCCTGGTACAGTTTGTTAGCAAGGGAAGGCCAGGTAACCACAAGACTTTAATGACATTTTGCTCCATTCTGTGGTCATTTTCTTAGAGACTGTACAAATCCATTTCAATACAATAAAGTTACTTTTTCAACCTGGGCTCTGACAGTAATCTGACAACACAAGATTAAATTTTGATTCAACTATGTAATTTTCCAGAATTATGGCATTTTGAAAATAAATTGGCTATTCCAGGCTTGGCATAATGGAAGCGATTTGCATGTTTTTACCTTTCAGAAAACTACTAGAAAACCTCCCTTTGCCTGTTTCTAGTTTTCATCCTTGCTCCATCTCTTCAGGCCATCTTCGTTTCATTTCATCCAGTAAACTAAGCTCTAGTAGTATACAAGCCCACTCAATCTCCTTAAATACAAACCTTCTCTGTGATTCAACCATTACACAAGGTTTCTTGGTTTTTAAATACATTAAAATGAGAAAAAGAGTGCTCAAACCAGACTGAATTCTGAACGATGTCAGAAATTCTGAAACAGAATAATGTTCGAAATCTCTAGCTATCAACATCTGTTTGCAAATACATGTGGTTAAAGTGAATGCCAGCCCAGTGAAATCATTATGTTGACAAGCATAAGGAAGGTACTTGTCTAAGTTCATCAACATAAAATCTTTAGCCTCCTGAGACAGAATCATACCTGACAGTGAAAGACATACTCTGGGGTAGTTTTCTTGTACTTCATGTTCCATACAAGGGCCACCCCATCAGGCTCATGAGGTGCATCCTCATTGTTGTTGTAAGAGGCTACAAGTAATTCTGGATACTGTGAAAGTTAAAAAGGAAAAATCTCAAAGTAAGGAAGATGACCAACCAATAGTTCAGACAATCCTAGAACCTTTGTTTTCTTTTGCCAAAATAAGGTTAAAAAACCCCATCAAAACCCAAAAGCCACCTTATATTATATATAAATGAGAAACTGCCAGTTAAAACTGTAATTGTTTCAAATTTAGCTCATTAAAAAAAAAAAAAAAGAAGTATTAACATACACATTAGGGTCTTGTTGTGTCTTTCATTGTAACTTGCTTTTAAATATAAAAGACAGAACTTTAAAGTGAGCATTTTTTAGAGAGGCAACAGTTACCTCTATAAAGGAGTCCATAAGCCAGAAACAAACATGCCAAAGACTTCCTTCATAATACAAACCTTTAGCTACTTTTCACAAAAGATTAACAGATCTGTTTACTTTTTGTAAGGAGTATATCCAAAAATACAGCCTGTATCAGCTGTGCCTATCGAGGGGGCAAGTTCACAGAACTAGAACAACTTACCAAGGTAACTGTTTAACTTACCTGAGATGACCAGTCCAAACAACTGACGACACGATGCTTTGACCAACGTTCATCAAAAAACTGCCTATTTAAGGACAGTTTTGCTCCGGCTTGAATCTCTCTATAAAGGCAATTAGCAGATACTCATCTTAGATCACTTTCTCAATTACAAATATTGGACATTCACAGCAAAGTATTCAACATTCACATTACCCTTCCTTGTCTTCTAAGTCTCTCCCACTGTAGTCAAAGAAGATGTTAATTTGCTCAGACAGGGCTCTCTCGACAATCCTTGTAGAGTGGTCAAAGAAACTTAGAAATTCCTCGGAATGTAAAATTTGTTGCTTTTCCTCTTCTGTAAGTTCATGAGGGGCAGCTGGAAAAGAATTAGACAAACATTCTCCAGACGGCGTGCTTTCAGCAGTTCTTCCCAAGAAAGAGAAAACCGTAACAGGAGTAGTTATCATGATGTTGGGAAATTTGTTCCCTAAACTCCATAGATTTGAAATGAGTTTTTACATTTTATATCTTGCTAGCTGATCATTAGAACATAAATCAAGTTAATTTCAACTTAATGGGAAAAGAAGTAAAACCCTTATTGATGCATTTCACTACAGGACACTCAGGATGTCTTGAGGCGAACTGTACCTTCTTCTTCCTCCTCTTTTTTTAAGGTTTTTTCTTCTTCAGGTTCAACTAATGGTTTTGGTGCAACCACATCCTCTTCATCTTCTTCATCTAAGGAGAAACATTATGGTGATACTGTCAATGTCTTTAAAGAAGAACAGTAACATTCCAGATGAAACTCAAACTGATGTAAAATAGTATCACTTAGCTTAAAATGGTTTTATATTTATAAAATGTAGTCCCCAGGATAACATTATCTCAAACCAAAAGATCATCGGAATGATGTCAACATGTGGGTTTTAGTTGCACTGAATTATGTAGTTGTATAAACTGAAATAAGACACATAAGAAATTGTAAAGAATCCAAAGTGGAAATCTCTCTTACAGCATTTACGATTCCATACATAACCATGTGGAGGATGCATGTTCTGTGTAACATACTGACACATTAATGCTGCAGAATAAAGAAAAATCAAATGTCTAAAATAGACTACAGAGCAGCTGCTTACTTCTGATCTGAAACCATCAGAGTCTAATGGGTCTTCACATGGCATGAAGATAGCTTACATTAGCTTTCAGGTTGCTATTCTGAGAGGCAAATTTTGCTACAGATAATAGCAGGGAGATTACATTTTTTCTGTCATTCTAAATGCAAGTCTCATTATCTGTATCATGTTTGGCAATGAGAACTTTACAGTAAAATGTGTTTTCCCTAATTGCAACGAATAACATAAAATGTTAATGTTCAGGAATACTGACAAGGTTTACAGCACTTTCTGCATTTCTACATTTTATTCTTTGAGAACTGTAAACCAGGAAATAACTTTAAATTACTTAGTGTTGTGGAATATGCATTTCCTGGCTTTTCTTCACCCACTTTCTAGGGTAAGCTCCTGAAAAGACTATTTTTATTGGTTAAACAGCTATGTCATCTGTTTATAAGGGAATGGCAGCAGGAGTCTGCTGCATGCCTGATCACTAGTAACAAGACAGTATTCAACAGGGACTAGGCCTGTTTGTTACAGCCATCCCCTTGACCCACGTTCAAAGTTATCTAATAAAAAGAACAAGGAAAATAAAAAAATTAAACAAAATAAATCCACACGCACACACACAAAAAAGGGGAAAAAGGAAAAAGGGGTGGTCAAAGGATGGGAACCAGCTGCCAAGCCATGGTCCCAGCAGCCAGGCCAGCTGACTAGATAGCAACAACCAGATGGCACTGCTAGGATTGTGTCTCTGCTATGAGGTGGCAATGGGATGGCACAACATTTTTCTGCCTGACTGCTTCCAATCATGTCTTTCCCCATTGGCAAGCCCGTGCAATTACCAGCACTCCAGGAGGTCTACAGACAAGCCTTTACCCTGCAAACAAAATACAGCTTGTAGGCCATACCAGCTGCCAAACCACACACATAGTGATAGGTTTAAAGAGGTCTGAAAATCTTTCTAACTCCATAGTATAGGCAATAAAAATATAACTGTACCTGCAGGAAAGAAAGCTTTAAATGACACTGTATAATGCACACAATAATACAAACTCCAACTTAATCAAAATGATAATGACGTATGCCAATCCTACATTACTTGAAATTGAGCGATTTTTACGTTCTGACAAGTTTACAGAACTAGGATAAATGGCATGAATGATTTCAATATATGCTCATACTTTTGAACCAAATGGTGAAGGTTAAAATCTTTCCTTTCAAGGGCCTCAATCAGCCACAAAGGAAAACAGTAATCACTGTCTTTTCAGCCAGCCCAACCGCATTTGTCAGCCCTTTCTCCGTCAATGCAGCCAGAGCAATCAACCTGCCAAACATTCAGAATGGAAAAACAATCTGAAAATACAGGGTATAATGCACCTGCCAGTGAAAATGGCCATTTCAAGAAAAGCTAGTGATCTCAGTGACCCTGCTGAGGAGGCGGTGGTGCAAAGGGGAAAGAACGCGTAAAAGAATTCTTAGTGATCTCCACTCTCTTGCACATTGACACTTCCTTACAAAGCATGCCAATTACAGCTTTTGTGCTACTTAAAAAAAATGAAAGCTTTTTTGGGCAAAATAATCACATGGGGAAAGACACTGCTCCTTTTTAGATGGATTCTCCTGTACAGTGGAGTGTAATCTGAAAACTGTATAACTTGTGGCAATGCTAAAGAATGGAATTCTTAATGTCAAATCGCTATAGGTGTGGACACCGATTAATTAAAAAACGTAATATGAGTTAGCACATTTTGAGAACACCAAATGTAGCACCACATATCCACATTACAGCTCCTTGGATAAAAATCCCCCCCTTGTTTGCCCTGCCAATCAATCCCGCAGATTGAAACCATGCCTTCAAATCCAGAAATTCGATTTTGGGTCACCCTGGGCACATTATTCTAGCTTTGAAAGTCCCAAATTAGAAATTTCAGCCCAACTTCCCATTAGTCATACTACACTGATTCTAAGTACCATTTTCAGTGACAGGAGTCAAATTCTTGTCAAATGCAGATGGTCAACCCCTTAGTGCTAAGTGACCTTCTAATCTACATATTTTATTCAAAAGATCATATAGTTGATTGCTCCTGCCTTTTAATGTTGAAACATAAATGGCATATATTATAGAGCTCTAAATTCCTTCATAGTACTTTCGCTGCACACAGCCAGCTGATATTACTGTATTTAAATGCGGGATACAGCACTTACTTTAATATTCTCAAAGTATCAGGCTTGAAATTGAAACATGTCATCTTACAGATTTATCTGTAACTACATAAATCTAAAACCTTCTCTCTAAAGAGAAGTCATATGCAAACTTTCTCATTAAGGGATCTGGGAGGAAAAAAACCCCAACACCACAATGAAAAAACAAAACCCAACACAAAACAAAACCCCCACATGTACAAGTTCTTGACCTCATTATCCAAAACCAGGATGCTTTCTCTCAGAAGTTTACAATGAAAAAAGGCTGCACGAAGCTGCTGGACAACAAAAGAGGTAAGAATGTTCTGTTTTAATTACTTCCCTTGTCTTTCCTTTACCTTGTGTGTATTTAATAACAGGTCAGGTGCTGGTATGTGCAAGGAATCGGTATAACAATAATATATTACCCAGCAAACACTGAAGGATTGGACATACTATTTCTGAAGAAGTTCCACATGAGTAAGTCAAGAACACATGATACAGTGGTGCACTGCATTTGTTTCAAGTCAGCATGTGGAAACCTTAAAGGTTCATCCTCCTTACTCATTATTAATGGTACCTACTGGAATTTTATGACACTTCATTCATGAGTATACCAAATACAATTTCACAATTCAAAAAAAGGCTATAAGATTTAGAAATAAGTCATAGTAGGGCCATGAAGACAGGAAATGGGACTCCATGTCACATCAACATACGGATGAATATTCATTATAATACAGTAAGGGATTAACTCCATGATATTTCTGACAGGTGAACAGGGGATCTAAGGTTACAAACAGAGCAGTAAAGATTGCATAAAAATAGCAACTACTTTAATAGCTACACATTTCTTGCCAGTGAATACTAAAAACCAGTTTAATGAACCACTGAATTTTTACTTCAAGTTAACATCAAAATTGTGATGTATTTTGGCAAGACAGAAGGAAAAGCAGTGCTGTAAATTAGGCTGCACCTAGCAATAACACTATGGAGTGAAGTTCCAGTTGTCTGAGTAATCTGTTGCTGCAGAGTAGGTTAATCAAAGTTAAATCATCTGTGAAATGGCTGGCTTTTGTTAAGCCGAATGTCTTCATATCAGGTTTTCCCATCTATATTTCACTGCACATTTTAAGGCATGTACAGGATAATGCATGAATATATAAGGGTCTGCCATTTCTTTTTAAAATATTAAAATCTAAAAATGCTGCATTCACTGTAACAGCATCCAAGAAGCCAATCCTATGCTCACATTGTTATTACTCTAGGTCAGAATTAAAAGGACAAAAATGCTTAATATTTTCATTCTGCATCTTGTAGACAGTAATTCCTCAAAGAGTGAAGCTAATGCAATAATACTATCTGCAGTTAGCTGTGATCACACAAACACAATACTGCAAAGCAGGACTAAATAACAAGTATCCCGTTAGCCCAGGAAAAGCCCTAATTGTGACAGCTGAGCAGAGTCATATTCCCCTATATGCCTACCTTTCTTTAGATCAACTACTACAAGAACTCACAAAACATCCTTATTCGCCATACTGGCAACTACTTTCTTTCCATATGAATCTGAACAATATGTTAGCAAATCACAAAGGAAAAGATCAAAGAGTATAGGAGAAACAGTGTAGCAAGAACTATAGAGAAAAAAGATTTATCACCAATGATGACAGCACTGTGTGGTGGCCAACACTGGAGCCTGCAGAACATTGAGACATATATACCAGAGTTCACATCTGAATTGTGTCTCTGTTGCTGAAACTGCTCCTGCTGCCTGCTAGAAAGAAATGAGTGTATGAAGGGAACACAATTTCAAACGTATTTTCAGAGAGCAGACCTGAAAATCTGCTGCCTGATAGAGCACACCAAATAGAGGCCAAATAACAGCCCTAATAACCAGCTGACCCACACTAACTAAAACAACATGTTCACCAAAATTGGACAATGAGGCAAGCAAGCAGCAGTGTTATATACAGCATCACGGGAAGTGAGAAATGGATTTAGAGAGTAGAAAAGGGGATGGCAAAACAAGGATGCTGGGGAATGGGGCACCTTAAACACAGGACGTTCATGTTATGATGGTGACAAAAGTTGAAATGTATTAATGGCACAGAGACATAGATGTTTAGGCTTATTAGTTAAGAAGTAAGGGGAACAGCACTAAGTATAGCACAACACATTTATCAAGCCAAAATGAAGTTATTTGGTCCCTAAACAAAAAAGATGGCCATAGTTACATAGAATGACAAAACCTGCTTTGCTATATTCCTCTAAACGACGAACTATTTCATGATTTCTATTTTTTTCCCCCATAATAAATACAGCTGCTACAGAAGCAGGGGAGTTGGAAGACTGAGGCTGGTCAAAATTCTGGAGAAACAAAAAACCACAAAAGTGTGAAAGAAAAAAAGAGCATTGAGGACAGACATGCGTCAGTATTTTCATCAAAGCAAGAAGTTTGGGAGCACCAAGACTACTACCCTGACACTATTTCTTATTATGGTTCTCCTTGGACACCTGTATATAGGGGACCTTGAGGAAAGGGCAGCTGTGGGTTACACCGACCATACGAAAAGCCCATAAAACAAGTATTGCAGATTTATCTTCTAAGTCTACTTTGGTTGTGGGCATCTTCCTCCAAGAACTGTGAAACATGTTTATTAACTTCAATTCAGTGACACGATTCAACCTACAGCACAACCTACAGAATAACTGCACACCATACCTAATAAAACTACTTCTGTTTTCCTTTGTTCAAAAGCACTTCTCCAACAGCATTTTAAAATCTCCTGATAATCAAGAAAGGTCCAGTCTGTTTTACAAGAAAGTGTGAACACTGAACCTAACCTAGCTGAGACGTAACTTGTTGCCATACAAGGGAGCTACTGAATATTAACTGTACATGTAAATTTAGTTGCAAGCTCAACTTTCAAGTGTACTTTGTAAGATTTTCTCTAGTTTGCAGTATACTCACTAAAACAAGCAAAAATCAACTTAAAATTGTGAGGAAAAAATAACAATGAGATGGAATATATCTGATTTAAACGTATCTAACTGCACCCTGAAAATTCAGCATATTGCTTTTGTCAATCGTTTTAAAGACTTCAAAACTTGCTTCCCAAAAATCAAAATTTGTGACTTTATTTATTTTTTTTTTCTGAGGCAGGATGATCTTTTCCTAAAGAAAACCTGTGTCCCCGCTCAGATGTCATCATAAATTGTGAACACAGAGATTAATTATGAATGGATTTAGGCAGTTTTAAGACAGACCTTAAGAAGACCCTTGACACTGGAATGATGAAAAAGCATCTCTAAGTGACTTTTGTGAAGTACACATACATAAAATTATGATGGCCCTCAAGAAAACAGTATTATTTTTGAGGTGGAATGGATTAGAAGACAACACCTGCATTGAGAGAGCTTTCAGGTCAATATGGAAATGTAGGTGACCCATTTTTCCCACTCAACTCCAAGAAACCTCAACTACAGCCTATGTAAGGAGTATGAAACTAAGACCATACAATCCCAGGCAATTTCCACAGACAGCAGGCAGCAGCAGTAAAACCCTTCAAGCACATAAGTTATGAACTAAGTCTTCAGGTTTCATAGATAGAGGGGAGGAAAAAATCTTGAGGGAACAGAGAAAGGAAAAGGTAAGGGCATGGGAAAAATGAAGGCTGGAAAACCCAAAATGCCATCTGTGCATGGATACAAATAAAATGAACAATGGAAAAGAAAGAGAGAAAGAACAGAACCTCTGTTATTCTGGCTCACTGAATAATGAAGTTTGAAACATCTGGTTTGTGCTCTGAAGACACTTACACTGGATATCCAGAGGTAAAAAAAAGAAACTTCTCAGAGTGTTGTTGCAATTTACTTTCTTTTCCCTCCTCCCCCTTGCCCCCCAACGCTTTCACAGTGTCATTTGCATATTGCTAAACTTGCCAAAGTGACCTCCAGACACACCCCAGACAAGAGCAGCATATTGATGTAGACTGGAGCAGCAACAACTCTGCACCACTTGTATTCCATCAACAACTCCCCATCACTTGCATTACATTTCCAAGTAGATTGTACAGTTTTATGGAAAAAACAGTCTAAGATTTCAGCTGAGTATTCTCTTCATGTTTCAAAAAGTGCTTCTATCTCCTTGCATAAACACCCAAAAGTTCACATACCAAAGAGTAAGAAAATTATGAATGTAGAATTAGGCCCTAAAACTGCTAGCAAAGAGACATACTCGAAGTCAGTCATATCAAATAACTTAGAGATTTTGTTGTAAAACTACATGAAAACAAAGTCAAGATTAGTATTGTTATTGCAGCAAAATTCAAGTGTTTCAACATTGAAAACTACATTTATTAGCCAGCTTTTGAAAAATTTCTTGTCTGAAAAGCAAACAAGTCATGACTGAAAGAAAGCATGTGTTCAGCTGCTGAGAACAGAAATGGCACAGGTTAATAAAGACATTAGTTCCGTCTTTTAAAACTCAAGGTATAAGTTCTAGGTATAAAAATTCAAATTCTTAAAAAGTGTGTGGGGTTAACTGCTAAGTTACCTTCAAGTAATTCTTAGGGATGTCATAACTGCAGGATATATCCCACTTACTTATTAGCTAATTAAGCAACTTCGTGTCTAATCTGAACGTTACTAGAAGCAAGAAAATACCATGTTTTAGTAATAAAAGTAATGTTAAGATACAGAATGACAGTAACACCTCAGCAACACATAAATAATGGAATTTATATCAATTGTTTATCAATTGCCTCACATATCAACCTCTCATTTACCTTCTTAAGTTTCAAAATCACAAGTGTTGGTTCTAATTCTGTTATTATTATAATGAAAGAAAAAATAACTTAGTGATAAGTTAGCCATTATGAATGTATTTAGGTAGTTTAAAGACAGATCTTAAGACAACCCTTGACACTGAAATGATGGAAAAAACATCTGTAAGTGACTTTTGTGAAGGTCACATTCATAAAATGATGATGTCCCTCAAGAAAACAGTATTTACCTTCCTTTGGCTGAGTCATAACAGGTGTTTGTGTCTCCTTTGTATATGTAACAACTTCTCGAGGAGGAAAATCAACTTGTGTAATTTTGGCCATTCCAAGTTTAACAGGTCCACGTCTAAAAAATGTTAATAGAGAAATCAGAAAAAGCATTCAACATTTACGAATTAATTCACATTTTGTCTAAAAGTGTACCCAAGTCACCATGTCACAGCACTGCTTAGCCAAAATCCAGCGGAAATTTAACTCTGAGGAAGTCACATAACTATGACTAATATTTTATTATCATTATTACTTAAAATGAGCAACTATTTATAAATCTGCAACAAAAAGGAAGACCTGCATATATATAAATATCTGGATTTCAGGATATAATTTTAAAGTTTTGCTCTTTGTGGTTATATTTATGACACCCCTATTTTTGCTGGAACAGATCTACTCACAAGTCACATTTGTACAGAAACAGTACTAGGATTTTAAAACTTAAAAACCAGCTTAGGTATTCTGAAGGAAAAAGCGTTTTTTAGTCCTTTTAACTTTGCTGCCCTTTCTTGTCTTCATCTAAGATACTATTTAAAATGCACAGATGCAAATCTGATCTGAGACTCACACTGACAAGTGATTTCTCTGTACAATATTACTTCAGAAAAAGGCACTGAAAATGTCGGAGCCTTCTGACTTTAGCTTATGGAAGATCCTATAAATGCAGATACAGCTAGTATCAAGCTACAGTGCACAATATACTTCCAAAATACACAACTGAATTTTTACGCACATTAATTCAGTCACTGTAGTTTCCTATAAAAGCTAATTTCAGTATGCACTGTAGTAACACTGCAATGTTCCAACAACAATTTACCTATATCAAATTCAATTTCTTATCCACCCCTCTCCTTAGATAAAAGCAGATAAAAAAAAAAAAAAGAGTAACCCCTTTTGAAATGTTTTGGTGGGCAGAATCATAATTCTCACAGCACAATATGGGCTTTAATTAGTGCTTATAATATGCTTACAAAAGCTGCAGCACAAGGAAAAAAGGGAGCTACCGTTTTTAAAATACAGTTATTCTAAGTTTTCTTATTTTAAAGAAATGACATCTTGAAGTCTGTATTTTATCAAAGACTCAAGAAAAGCACAAGTAAGTATTGTTATCAGAAACATGTATCTTATGTATATTAAGTAATAGAAAAACTTTCCCACTGCAAGCAAACTGCACTAACTCTAAGGATAGTGAATTTCTGTTATTACAGAACATTATTTTAACAATAACTTGAAGTCTTACATTAAAAAAAAAAAAGCAGCTCTTATCCATAAGTACATGAAAGAGGGAATATAAGAAATCTATGCAATACCCCAGATCGGAATCAGAGTGGAGCTGAAGAACTGATGGATCAGTATCCCAGTGCAGCGTCCTGACACCCCAGGTTGAACAATCATGCAGCATTAGCAAAAAAGGCCAGAGATTAGTGAAGCAAATACACGCTATGAAATGCTAGAGTTACAGTAAGCTTATAGTTATTTTGTGTTCACAAGAAACAAAGCAATGTAACATCAGTTAAGGGAAATTCAGCAAATATTCAGTGCAATAATACATGCAGTAAATACAAAAGTTAAAAAGCAAACACAGAATTCAGAGCTATTAGAAATAATTTTAAAAAGATTGAAAGTTAAAAACCTGCAAACAAATACAGCATTTATGAGAGGCAAATAAAAATATTTTGAATACTGACAAGAACCACTAAAAACTTTAATTCCTTTTAAAATCTGCTCAGATTTGTTCATGCCATATGAAGACAGATTTGTTAACATGATGCAATCCTGCCCAGAGCAGTAAATATGTGGAGGAAACTGTCATATTGGTAAAGGAAATGAATCAACACATAAGCCTTCTAGTAGCAGGGCAAAAATGTACTTCCACTGGGATAGAGAACTGCTAGAGTTTCCAAGATGTGACACTGCCGCAATTATGGGTTAAGCACTGCCTTGGGCTTGTAAGTGTCATCTGATTTAGAGCCAACTCCATTTAAGGTATTTGAATCACTTAGAAATAGTGGGCTTTGTATTAATAACACGTTTCAGAGTCATGTATAGTAATGAACAGAATAGATGCATTTCAAGTCACTTTTGATCAGAAGAAATATGAAGGGGGAAATAAATCTTCCCTCTCCCTTCATTGTTAGCCTTCATCCCTTCTCTACACATTTTAATTTAGCCTACTGCCTGCTATCAGGCTTAGAGAGATTTTAAAAACAAGTTTATATGAGAGATTAACAGATGAACATATGTGGGTTTTCTGACATTCTTAGATGCTATTATATTTTTATAAAAACACTATCATATTTTACTATGGTAAGTCAATAAAATGTAGTTTTACACTTCAATCCCATGCATAGTAATGCTCTTATAAACCAAGTTCAGAATTCCAAGGTAAAGTTAATCTCAAAAGCATACAGGCAACGCCAGAGAAGCTCCTAAGTATGGGTGCATCATGCACTACCTTGTCCTTGTAGGAAGTACGCATTAAAATAGTTATAGTTTAATTAAGAATTACAAATCCATGTGCTTATATCTTGCAAATCATCCCACATGACTGCTACTGCATCTGCAGCAGTAACTTAGCAATAAATCTGTAATACATTTCTGTATCTTTTGTGCATCAGAAAACACACCATTTAACACAAAATTAATTACTTTGAGTACACTTATTCTTTAGGTCTCTACTATTTTTCTTGACAATGTAGGTTTAAGATTGAAGTTTAATTTGGTGCCTGAAACTTCAAGCTGGATATTGCTTGTGTTGCTTCATATCTAAAGAAAAAAAAATCTAAACCAAACCACCAAACAACCACCCCAACCTTCATGTTGCTTCTGTGAAGGACTGCTTGTCTACAGATCCAAATACTGCATTACCACAGTATTTGTCAAACATTTTCTCAACTTTTTTAGACCCCCTTGAGAAAAAAGGAAAAGAGTATGAATTTAAAAGGCTCCAAATTTTGTGCCTGCTTAATATATAGCCTTTACTGATGTAACTGACATGCTTTCAAAGCAAAACTTGCAACAGTTGCTTTGGTTGTACTAGGGAAATAGCCTGCCTTTTAAAGTACTTCATGTCAACAGGCAGTACATGTTATAGTTAAATGTTTCTCAGAGATATTCTTTTAAAATAAAGGTAACATTCTCATATAGAATTAATCTATTATATGTGTACCAAAATTGTGTACTGTTCTTTTTGCTTCTGGATGTCTGTTATGCCTTAAGGTAAATGAATTTGTCTACAAGCTTCAGTGAACAGGAGTTCCGACTCTTCCATATATACCCTAGCTTCTATGTATCAAGGCTATATCTCTAGAAAGGATTTTCTGCATTTAAAATAATCCTATGAAGCATCCACCTAACCCAAAAGTAAACCAACTGTATTACTTTCCAGTTTTAAATGTATATTCTTAACTGAGGAAATGAGGAAGAACAGTATCAAACTGGGTACCAAAACACTTTGCTCATGAAAATAAAGCAAGACAGATGGAAGTAACAGCAGGAACACAGTCTGAACACTACTCCACTAATTACTAAATAAGATATTGGCAAGATTGAGAACCATAGAGACAAGATGACATTAACAAAGGAGATCATCTTTGTAATATATAGCTTCAGCATGCCAAGAGAAAATAACCAAACCTGAAATAATGCACTAATATGAAGAGCTTTTTAAGATTATCAAGGATAGCAGAACAACTTGGGTGTTATAACACATATTGATAAGAAAGTCACCTGTGAAATACCAGGTATAATGCTAACGGATATCACACATTCCAACTTCTCTCCCTAATTTTCAGGTTCTTCAGGGGAAGAATGTTATCTAGTGGTCAGAAAATGAGCAAGAGGACTTTAACAGTGACTCTATATAGCCTTCAATTTAGCTATACATTCATACCTCTATACTTTTGAGACCACAATCTTTTTATGATTCCACATCTGGGAAATTGTCAAGAGACAGACTTAGTTTTAAAGCTTGCAAATGCATGAAGCTACAGAGGCTTACAATACAAGTTCTCTCAAGGCTTTGTAAGAAAGTGCATGCCTACAACATAACGTTACTATGCTTGAGGAACACACAATCAGAGAGCACAGCACACCTATGAGGTGAAGATAAATTCAGTACACACTGAATCAGTGTGAACACACTGAACCAGTGTTCAATTCAAGGTATGCGGCCTATACATATTGTTTCACACTGAACTTGAGTGAATGGAAAGATTTCTTATTTTATGAAAAAGTAATAATAATTCTTTTTCTTTTAAATACTGAATTTAAATATGACAATTTAATAAGCAATAATCACAGATCTCAAACAATTTAAAACTTGCTTGGTTGTTAAGGAACAATTATATTGCTTTTTTTATTAACATGACAGGTGAACTTCAATTGCATAATGAATAATCTATGCACAAGATCACACCCGGGCACTGTTAAAATGATAAAAAAAAAGTTTAGGTTGATAACTGTTGACTAAAGTATTCTCTCTATTTTAACTTACAAATATGCACCTTGTAACTTTTGCTCAGGCCATTAAACTCTTGAATGTTTTCAGGTTAAGATTGTACATACTATATGTGCATAATCCACATGCTTACATGACGTAACTGCAGTCCTTTTAGAAGAGGTTTCAAAGCAGTGTATTTAGTCTTTCTCTAGAACAACTACACATATAAGCAGAGAAGTATCCGATAACTGCTTTAGTTACTGTGTTTTAACTGCTTTAGTTACTGTGTTTTAACTAAACTTTACCCCCAAAGCACACTCAATAAATTTTAAGTAAGTGAACTTAATTTGCTGAGAAAATACAAGCTACCAGTGTTAATAGCCAAAACTGCTCTTATTCACAGACCATGCATGAGAACAATAGAAATCCCATTTGGAAGTAGTCCCACCTTATCACCATATATCACCACTTTGAATTAGTTGAACAGAAATATTTATCTGACTTCTTAAGGCAGATAAAACTCAAGCTGCACAAAAAAATGGGTCAAATAGATGTGGCAAGTACCGGAACTGGAAAAACCCCAACCCTGTGGCTGTACTAAGATGATTGCTGTGCTTTGGCCAAATGAGAGAGATTAAGTGGTATGGTTGCCTTACAGAAATGACTCTGAAGTGAAATTCTGAGAAATGCTCTTCTGAGTAAGGGGTGGGGAAATTAAAATCAGAAGCAATGCAATGTTTGTAGACAGTGTCTTTTATTAGACCAGATAGAATAGAGGTGAAAAAAGGAAACAGCCTATCATCCATACACACTCCCCTTTAGAAAAACCTGGGAAGAGCCCAGAAGTTGGACTTCTCCAGTTTTCTATTGTCCTGAGGCATTCATGCTTGCAAGAAAATTATAAGACAGACTTCAATATCACTTTTAACTTGGAACTTAAACAACTCCACATTAATGTTGGCAATTTCAAATTAGCAAGTGTACTTGTATTTCAAATTTTAAAGGACTTATGTAAAAGTTACTGTTCACAGATTCAGCACTGTAACCTCATGTTATTATAATCAAGTAATTAACCTTGATTTCTTCTAAAGCTTAATTATTCAGAATCTGGGTATTAAGCAAAGGAACTTGACAAGGAAAGTGACGTACCTAGATCCAACAGCGCCATCACCAGAGTCCTGGCTTCCAGCCTCACTTGGTGTACTCACAGATTTGGAAGACGGAGAGGTAGGAGGAGGGACTAAATAGTGAAACAGACAGGTATCCGCTGTTACTATTCGCAGAGGTTGCACAGCTTAGGATGTTTTAAAATTAATTTAACATGAAGTATTAAAAAAAAAAAAAGTGATGGCAAACAAAATATACATGGATGAAAATGAACAGTAGAAAGAGAGGGGAAAAGACAATGTTAACAATTCATGCTGGACTTTCATGCAGTTGTTTGGCATTTATGCACCTTGAGCATAAAAAAAGACATGGAGGGAAAGACAGTTAAGAGAAAATGAATTGAAAATATATTTTAAAACTGAACTTCTGACAAATGATGGCATCAATTTTCAAAGGACAATTTCCACTAAACCACATCGCTTAAACACAAATGATAGTTGTTAATATAACTTTGACATCAGCTTTTCTTAAAAATTAGCCCCGAATGTATTTAATTGGTAATGTTGCTTCTAAACATACAATCACCAAAGTGTGGTACAAAAGAACTGGCTTTGTCACACAGCACACTTCACTTATGTTCTAGTTTGAATCAGATCAACACAAATCCTGTGTATTACAAAAAAGTTTCCAGAGTTAGGTTTTGTGGGGCTGTTGTGGGTTTTTTTCTTTTTACTTGACAAAAAAAATATAGTAGTGTTATACTGAAACTTTTTCCTAAAAGTCAGTTAATTTTCAGCATATAGATGAAGACTTCAATTAACACTTAAAAAGCAACATGCTTTTTGGACCTGATACATTAAAGTTGACGATATAATGCAATCTGATGAAACACAAAGCTATTTTACATTTCTTTCTAGAAACAGTGCAATTCATTACTTAATGAAGCTTAGGTTTATGCTTAAGAATCAGGGTTTGTGTTGAAGGTCCTTATATACTTCATTTTTCAGCAATACGTAAAATGTTCATAGAACACATTAACTCCTCAGCAACCCTTAAAATGAACCTGTAATCAACTGAACAGAAGTCTGTATAAAAATTGGGATCCACTGTTGGGGGTCAGGCAAAGGAGAATTCTGAATTTAGATCTGCAATATTTTTAAATATCACAGGTACACTGTGAATTCTGAAGCATGTTTCCATCCCATCCCAAAACAGAGACATGGTGCTGGTTGCCGAAAAAAATACACCCCAAAATTTACAAAACTACAGTGAATTCTTTAATTTAGTGAAAATTCATTCCTCCTACAGGAGAGAATTTTATGTAGAATTATACTTCTTAAATGTATACTTACACATAGTTAGACTTTATATGAGTGTATATGAGTGTGTATAAATATATACATAAATATTCTTCAATCCATCATTACCATTACCAAATAATTTATACTAAAGGAAATTCCGACATTATTTTTGTGCATTACCAGAAACGACGGCATTTTAATGTCACTCTCTCTTAATTCAAGTGACATTAGAAACATATCTTCTTACCATTTACAGAAGTCAGGCCGCACGGCCAAAAGAATGCATTAACAGTTTTGATGCTACAGTGCCCTCTCGTGGGGCAAACCGTTTTGAAGAAAAGCTTTCTATTAGTGAGGTGAAACCTATTTAAAGATCAACGGTGTTAAGACCAAGTAAAAATCCACCTACCCCAAAGAAGGATGAAAAAGGATTTTGGTTCACTATCTTATGCCTTCCTATACAACCAGTATGGTAGATATCAAAAGTATACTTACATTGTTACGGCCCCTTCTCCCATAAGAGAGCTATCTTACTCCAGCAGTTAAGAGGACAGGAATTGTGTTCAGAATTTTTGATACAAATTGCTATGAAGGAATCTAATCTCAAGCTATCCACCTACACCAATTATGAAAGCTCAAGTTATCTGCACATCAAGCTGGTCAGCTGTGAGTTAGCTTCAGCTCAGGCATACAATCACTGTACTTATCATACTTGGCCAGTATCCAGGCAGCAGACCAAGTCCAAGGCTAGGCATGCTACTGTGACTACCAAGTAGGACATTTTAACTTGATTTAGGATCCAAATTGGATTTAGGTATCTTGACAGAAAACAGAATGAACTCCCTGCAAATCTATGTGCGTGTACGTTGAAACGTGCGGTTAAGTAGATGCTCAATGGAATTTAACACAATACTCACAGGGGCGTGCCTTGGTCTTACAGGCCAGCACCTCAAAAAGCTTTTCATATAAGTATGCTAAGTCTACGCAATGACTTGTTTTAAGGACCGACTATCCTCTGGTTTTTAGATTCTCCCTCACAGATTTAAAAAGCCACCACCAACAATCATATCCAATTCTGCCAGAGTCTCATCAGCTGCCCAAGCACAACCTCACACAAGAAAGCTATCAGTCTGACAAACAAAATCTCTAGCAGGTAAGATCTGATGATTTAAAGTGCTGTACATTAGACCTAAATAGCCCAAATTCTCTAAATAGCATTCTCTAAACTGTGAGAACAGCTCAAGCTACTAAAAATTACTGTAGTGGCAAATAGAATGGGAGCAGCTATAATGCTTTTTATGCCACATTCACTTTTGAACACTTGAGGACTATGCAAAAGCAATTATGAAGATACAGTTGCAGATATACCTTATCTGTAACAAATTATTTTTCTTTGCAAACGCAGTTGAAATAGACACTCATCATTGAGCCAAACTGAAAAATAAGTTTTAAACCCCTTAGGTTTCAGAACTAGAGTCAAAAAGTGGAATTGAATGATCACCCTTTTCACTTTCACCTTCCAGAAATATGCAGCTATGTAAAGGAAAAAAGCAACAACCAATATGCTAACCCGTCCAAGAGTGGCACAGATATGAATCATAAAACTTAACTACCAAGGATGATATTTTGCCTTGCTATTAGTCCATCAAAGTTGAGTATTTGAGATAAGAAAAATTACGGTGCAAAAGAGGCAGAAAGGAAATAAGCCAAGTGTGCACAAAAATAGCATAATTAAAATCTGGTATTATGAAAAAGAGAAAAAAAAATACAGATGAGTAACATGCAGGGAAAATAAAAAAATTAAAAAAGAGCAACAAATACACGATGTTTATGCATTTTAACTAAAAAACTCCAAATAAACCACTAAGTGTAAAACATAAATTTTACAAAATAGTAATGTGTACTGAAGCACATCACTCAACATTTATAACAGAGATCATGCAGGACAAACTCCAGACATGTATATCCCAAAAAACAGTGGCAAGGGAACTTTCATGCCAGCTGTAGAAATACCACAATCCTAACAAAATCAATCCACCAACAACCCCCCCCCCCAACCACACCTAAAAAACCAACCCCTGAAAAACACCAAACATTTATCTCAAATAAATATTAACATTCCTACCAACAGGAGACTCAGGTGTCAACCCCATGCTCTGAAGTAACGCTTCAGCTTCTCTCCTCTTCTTTTCAAGATCAGATTCTTCTTGTATAGGAAGGGCTTCTTTCTTCTGATCAGTCTATAAATAATTCAATAATTAAGTTACAGCATTTACCAGATATTAAAAATGGTTTTATTTTTTTTTTAGATCTCATAGGAGGTTTTTTATACTACTGAAATCTATCATTATACAGGTTAGATATTTGACTCTAATAATTCTGTTGATCCTTTCTGTAGGTAGAGCAAGCAACAGACGGGAATTGCAAAACTCTGCAGCTTTGGTACTGTCTTTAAAAGGCATATATAAAATGCAAAAGGTGTCATCGCATTCGTCAAAATGACTGACACTTCGTAAGATCAAGAATCGCTCTTTCACACTAATGTAAAGCATTGTAAAATGAAAAGACTGAAAGAAAATGTATTGTGTATCTGTGCATAAAAGTATTTAAAAGACACAGTCATATGGTTCTGATTTTGAAATGACAACAGTGTCAAAGAAAACACTGTAGGGTTACAATAACAGTAAGAGACACCCCTCTTCAGTCAAGAAGGTATTAGGACACTTGGCTAGACAGAATACATGCTGAAGTGCACAGCAATTAAGAAAATGTCTAAGATGTAAAAGTGGGGATTGTGATAAGCTGTTGCATCACATGTGGAATCTCAGAGGCAATACATTGTTAAAAGATCATCAGAACATAGCCTGAGATATTTCTCTCTCCTTTTTGTCTGAGTCATGTAGCTGGCAGCTACCCAGTCCTCAGTCATGTGCTGATGTAGAACACATACAAGATCACAACCAAAACACAAAGTCTTGAAAAAGTACCCCAAATCACCAAAATATTCCATCAAAAGTTCTTTTACAATGTATAACCTGCATTCAGGAGAAACACAGTAAAATCACTTGATTGTCACATACGTTAGCAGAGAGAAAGCCAGAAGATTATTAACACATTAAGTTAGCTTGTGTATATCCTACACAAGTAGCATACACTAGTGTTGCTCTGAATTTAAAAATTCAGGCTAAAGACTAGTCAAAGAGCAGAAGAATTTAGCACATTTTTTATAGAATAATAATACTGAAGGGCAGACAATTCCTATGGACATCCTCAGGACTGCACTTCAGAAGTATGTTCTCTAACACCACCACAACTCATTAAGCAGAGGTTTTGTGCAATACTTTACAGTGATTAATGGTATCCCCCACACACAAGTAGTTCTAGAAATCAAAACGTTATGCAAGTGTAGGATTAAAAAATAAATTTAAATCTAACTTCTCATATGGATAATTGTAAAGAAAACAGCAGGCATTTGATCTTATAAGAAAATAGAAGTGTTGCATTTGCATCAGCAACCAATCATTAAACAGACACTCCCTGAATAACATGTAGCAAATGGTTATTAAGTTAACCTACCCTTATATTTTGGACAAGTTAACAGGCATATTTCAAAGAGAAAATAATTTCTTACTTCTTTCTTCTTTCTTTCCTCCTCCTTTCTTTTCTTCTCTTCTCTGATTTGAGCTAATCGCTGTTTCTTGCGCTCCAACTCCGCCTTCAGTTCACTTTTGTCAGACATGGCTGGAACCCTGAACAACAGAAAGCACACCACTGTTTGGTTTTGGGATCTTTGTTTTTCTCTCAGTTAGTTTTTTGTTGTTGTTGTTGCTGATTTGTTAAGATTGCAGCTTTCCTTTAAAGAAGCTACACTAGCTTACCTAAACCAGAACTTCAAAAAGTCTTCAAATAATAATACCCCCACACACACATTTCCATTTCCATATTTATTTCACTTAACACATTCTCAATACTAAATGATGGATTTAAAACAGAACTATGATATGGTGATGGGTCACCCTAGGTAGTTCTGATACTGTTTGAAGAAACTGCTTTGAAAGAAAAGTTAGGCACTGAAGATGGGATTATCCGATCTTGCTATAGGATTTGGTACAGTTACATACCCAACTATGAAATAGAAAATAGCAAGGAGAGTAGCAGTACAGCATCTGTCTTTTAGTTTTCACTTCAACAGCTTAAATATTGACATGCTATAACTTAGGAGTATGTATGCTATATATATCTTTCTATATACAGTTGGAGGATTCAAAATACAGATTTATTTAAATATTTAGTAGGATTACTATAAATAACAAGGCAAAGTAAGTAAAAGTGTGGTGGTCAAAAAACCCCCTGTAAAGTATGTGCATTACCAATTCTTCCCCAGCCTTTTTATACATTGCTGGTAGACCTTTTAAGACACACATTCTACAGAAAGCTTTGCTACACAACTGATTCAATTAAATACAGACAACAAGGTCAACAATAAAAGGTGAGGGGAAAAAAAGCCGCTTGGTAACAAAGACCTCAGAACAGAGGTGGGGAAAACCGTGAGAGGGCTGAGTGATTAAAAGCTTAATTTTACTGTTTTTAAGCAAATCCAAATCTGTAAAAAAAGTGTAGAAGTGGGTCTGTAACAGACAAAGGATCTATAAACGCTTTTACACTAATCTTGATAACACAGATACCAGAACAAACAATAATAATATAGCTTTTATAATAACATAACGATTCACCAATTCAAGAATTCCTGCACAGCACACCTAAGCACAGAAAAGGATGCAAAATGATGCAAGCCTCGTACCTCTGCCCCAATATACTTAGTAGTATGCATACTCGGGTAAGTCTATGTATGCCTCCATGTTGCTTGCAAGCATTTAAGCACTAATAAAATACATAATCCCCCCCGTATTTCGGCATTTTCAACTGGCACTCCAGTGTCGCTTTAGAGCACCTCCGGGAAGGCGCGCTGTCACCGCACCATGGATTCCTGCCCCCACCCGTCCTGCTAACACCACCCGAGGAAAGCAAAGCGGACCGGAGCCATCCCCGAGGGAAGGGAGAGGAGTGCACACCGCACCCCACCTTCAGATGACAGCAGCAGTAACCAGGTGCCGCCAAGCTCAAGCTCCGCACCGAAACCTCTCACGGGCCGCATCGGAGAGAGAACCCTCACAGGACCCTACCTCACCCTAGGCCTTGGAAAAAACAGCAGCACTCCAAGAGCCCACTCAGTACCCTCTCCCACTTAGAGGGCCGAGCCCAGGCGCGGGCCGCCCCAGCCCCACCCTATTGCCGCGCCCCTCACTCGACAGGGCGAGGCTGAGTGACGGCGGGCCCTCTTCCACACGGAGGCAGCGGCGCTGAGCCGTCGCGGGACCCCGCGCACCTGCAGCGGGACCTCCTCCAGCTCCAGACACCCTCGACCGCACGTCCCGCTCCGCTTCCGCCGCTTCACAAAAGCGCCGGCAGCTGACAAGGCGGTAGCCTACGGCGAGTGCCGAGGGTCAAACCAGCTCTGAAAGCGGCGCGGGATGAGCAGGAACTTACAGGAGCTGTAGATGGACACGGAGGCCTATACAGTATCGAGAGGCGCTCACGGGGGAACGAGCTGACAGGAATTCACACGGGGAACGACTGAAGCAACGAGAGGATGGGGAGCTTCCAGAGGCCGAGCTCCGAACCCCTCCAGCGGAGCGCCGGTGAAGTGGCTCTGAGAACAACGACGCCCAACATGCAGCGCGCCCCGCTGGGCGGGCTTAGCCCGCAGGGCCTTAAGGCGGGAGCGTGGCACGGCTGCGCGAGGCATGATGGGAGCTGTAGTCTTTGGGGACGGGACACGACACTGCACACTGCTACCCGCCGCCGCCGTGTGTCAGGGGGCGCGAGGGCGAATGACAGGGCCAGAGACAGTCAGGGAGCTCGGCGCTGCGCATGCGCGCCCTGCTTTGGTTCCCTCGCGGCTGTGGCGAGAGGGCGGTGGCCGTGCCGGCGTCTCGCGGTGCCGCCTCGTGGCGGGGGCGGGTCTCGCAGCTGCGCCTTGCGCCAATGGCGACGGGCGGCGGTGAAGGGGGCGGGGAGGGCTGTGAGCGCCCGCGCTGTCCCCGTCGCGGTGGCTTTCGGTGAGGAGACTGACTGGACAGCATGATTCAGATCGTAGGCTGAGGAGGCCGGTAGCCATGATCGCTCCAGTGGCTGAGGATAAAATCTATAGAAGCCTGATCAGGCTAGGGACTGAATTATCCACTTGGCATGGATGTCAGCAAGCGGAGTTCAGTTGTCAGGTTGATGTGTTGTTACACATCAGCAGACTGCTTCATTGCGTGCTCAACACGGCAAAGCGGTGCCAAACCCACCCTGCACCAATGAGCACCACACGGGAATGAAGTTACAGACTTTATTTTGATACACGTACCAACTAGTAGTAAGGACTTTGCTGTTCCCCACTCATCATGAATTAATGAGTATATTGCTACATATATCCTGTGTAAGCATTAAGTTTTCCGACCTTTCTTCGTAACTGCTGAGCTAGTGCTAGTGACTGCTGTCTCAACGAAGTGCTTGCTTCCTCAGGCTGCTGATCTTCCAAAACGGTGCTTACCAAAGCAGAATTAATACGGACAGTTGCTATAGTTGAAGTGCAGCATCTCTTCACAACCCTGTATAAAACGAAGTTTTGAGGTAATAGCTATCAGCTCCAGAGAGGGTTAATTTTTCAGCTATTGCAAGTTGAAATAGTTTATTTAAAGTCACTGGCTTTACAAACATTTATGTCTGGTGAGTATACTTTCTGAACTCTTGCTGACCAGCACTGGAAAAGGACTGCATTTGCAGTTATCCTCTGTCATGCAATGAATGCAGTCATGCAGTTAGCCTCTGTCATGCAGATAGACTGAACAGGTTGGTGGGTGCTTTGCTGAGATAGCTCCCAGGAGAACTTCAATTGCTGCAGAAATCAGTGTTGATTACTTACTCCTCTGTTGTCTTCCATGTGAGATGGGGTTCATACTATACCTTCAGAGAAATTAGAAAAACTGTGTGTTGTCTAGATGGTTTCTGACCATTGAATAACCCCCATGCATTTCATAAGACTATGGGTGTTACCATTCAGAGAAACTATAAGTGAAACTGTCAAAGAAAATTGTATGATGTGCAAGAGAAGGGGTTGCATTTTTCTTCAGAGGTGGAAATATGAAGATGACAGTAATGAAGTTCCACAAACAGCTGTTGTCTTTGAGTTTATTGGCCAGAATTTTCTAATATCATACAATAATGTATGCACCTCAGGACAGGAATGTATGTTTCATTTCTGTGTTTTACATACACTTGTTTGGTCATAAAATATCTAGTTTGTATTTGAAGCTTTCCAGTAATATTTTTCAACTTTACATTTAAAGTCATGAATGTAGGAGCCAGATATTTCACATCTGTAATGAAGTCAGCTGGTTTAGTTTTGATAATTGATCTTAAAGGCTGAAGTTTATTTCTTGGTCCTGAACCAACATATATCTGCTGAAGGTTGTGTTACTACTTTTTACATTAGTCTCTCATTTTAGAAAACAGAAACTATAATAGCTAATTTTTGCAGCACTGACACCCCCATTTTTCTTTGTAAATGATAGCTATAGTTTTCAATAGTGGGGTCAGTTTAGCGGTGACACTAACACTGAGAGAATGCTAACATTTGTGGGCTTTTTTAGTACTCATTGATCTCATAAGTAATACCAGTTTAAATTAATCTGATATGGTTTTTCATCAGCTGAAAGGCTCATGAGGTACATGGTGGGAGAACAGTTTTTTTTTTTTATAAGTGAGTGTTTTCTTCCAGCCTCAGCTTCCTGTTGACAGCGTCTTTTGGTATAGTGAGCCCCAATTTTATAATGTTGTCTAAGAACATAGTGAAGTTATACCGTGAGGTGGACTCTTTCTGCATCTGGGTCTGGGAAACCAGCTTGTAAGGGATTTTATGCACCCATTCTATGCATTGGGCCTAGAATGAACTTAGCTTAGTTAAGATGTGAACAGGAGGTTTAGCAGTGATTGAGTACACATATAAACAGAATTAGTGTATTACTGAAAAGTTATTTTGAAACATGTAAGGAAATTATAAAGATACGTAAGGTCTCTGCTACAGATAGGTGGGAATCCAGACTAAACCAAAGAAGATACCATTTGATTCAGAAGAGCTTCTCTTTTTGTCTTCTGGAAAACATTAGACTTCTGTGCTGCCTGAATCAGAAGGATAGACAGCAAAGGGCTCGAAGTGCGCCCTCAGCTTGCCCTGTCACCTCATTGTGCTGCTCAAGAACAGTGGCTTACTCTGGAGCATGAGTCTAGGATCTATGCTGGAGGTCATAGTTCCCTTCTCAAGTAATTGCCACTGCTGCGCTGTCCTCTCTGTCAGTGAGAGATGGAAAAGGCAGTTGCCCTACTGTTCTCCATTAAGTCTCATTTTAATTTTCTTTCTTTTATCATATTTGAGGAGAACTAAATGTCCATCTCAGGGGCTTGCTGGAATGGAAATAATCAAGATCTCATTCCATAATATGACTTGTCTAGTATCACTTAATAGTCTGTGCTTTTCCCATAGAATATTTTCTGTGTTGCTAATACAGGTTTCTCTCTTTCTCCTCCCCCTTTCCTATTCCTGCTTGACGGGCATATTATTTTTTTCTGTTGTGTCAAATTAAGGTCATGGTGAATGATGGGTCCTTTCTGAGATGAGAACGTTTCCGCAATCTGGTAACCTTTGGCACAAAACACGTGCACTAGTAAATGGTTCAGCACTTGGCATGATTCACTACTAAGCATTATAGAAAATAAGTTTACCAGTTGAAAAATTCCAAGGCAAGTTTTCCTTCTTCTGTCTGTGATTTGTGTATGGTGTGGTCATTTTTCTCTATTATGTGGTCTATTATGTGAGCTGCTTAAGGGATCCTGTAATGCACCAAAACTTTCAATAGTTACAACAGTTTTAAGAGAGAGCATGCAAACTGCCACGAGATCAGCTGAAAGGAACTATTTTCAGCTGTGTTGTGTTCCTGGCTATATTCTACCATCAGTTTGTGCACCTGTCTCCCATTAACCTTAATGGAATTTTTGTGTATTCATCAAAGGCAGAATACGTTTGAATATTTGATAACAGAGTTCCTTTTGTATGTTTTATGCAGCATTACTAGCTGAAAAGATAATAGGATAAGTAAGGAGAGAGGTGTTCACTTTTTTCAGGGGCTTTTTAAAACTTTTAATTAAGAATTCAGTGATTTTTCTGTATGTTAAGCAAAAGGGGTATCTCATGTAACTTTAAAGTGCATTCTAGACTAGAGTTAATATGAACAAAGGCATACTAAAATACTGTTTTACTAAAAATGATTGCACTTTTCATCCAGTGACATAAAATTATCTCATTCTAGAAATGTGAAATAATTACCCATATCATGTACATCATAATTATTTACAGATGTTACAAGACAGCTAAAAAGATGAAGTGACAAGACCACTGGGATTAGAATTTAGGATTCCTAGCTTCCAGTTTTCCATTCTTACCAGAAAGTAATATTTATTCTTCTGCAACTGTTAACTGTAACAGTTACCTTCTCATTTTTTCACATTCGGGAATTAGTTGAGTCGCTGACTAACAGCATTAGTCGGTACTATTCAATAAAGATGGGTGCCGTGGAGTCATTTTACTGCTAACAGCAATATGAGTAAAGATAGTTTGTTCCTTTTTTCAGTCTTTAATAAGAAACTTGCTAATGTGTTAGAAAAAGGTCTGAAAAATTACACGGAATTATGCTATAGAGTGAACACATGAAGAGTAATTTTTAACATAAAAAAAAATCCCAGAATATCTTCTGCTTATAAACTTAGATAAATCTTTACTTTTAGCATAAGTTGCAAGCAGTAGATAGTTTGAAATATGTTTATTACTATCAGAATCCAAGCTCCTAGGCTGTATTTATAAAACACCTGAGCAGAAAAGAGATGGCACAGTATATCTCCTGTAACAATTACTACAACTGTATGGTTTATGCATTCTGCTGGAACATATCACAAGTGGCAGAGCAAATGCAGTAAGAAGGGACAAGATAACAGGAATGTGTTCCATGTTCCAAACAAATCTATGGAGACTTGATCCAAACTGGAAGTAGCCCTTCTCTGGCTGAATATTAACCAGACTATGACAGAACTTCATTCTCCTTCTCCTTCCATCCATAACAGTGGTGTTTAAGCCTCATAGCATTTTGAATGTTTGAAAGGAGATTTCCTGTGGATCTTGCAACATCCGGTTGCATCTTGAAAATCTGATTGGCTGCTAGTGAAGACTGTTGCAGCTAAACTGTATTTGAATTTGGTTCAGAATTTTGTTGCATTTCAAAAATGTTAAAATTAGTCTTGTGTGCATTCCTGTGGGAAAAAATGTTTTCAATTTAAGCCACATATAATGCTCATAAACATTATTTGGATAGCTAAACCCATCTACTTGCTAGTTTAGGGCTAATGTTAGTTTAATTTTATATGCTCCAAACACCCACATTTCCTTT